CAGAAAGTTTATCTTTTGTTTCGTGGCACTGAGCACTGAATGCCCTAAGTCTTGTTTTTGTTAATAATACTCCTCTTGGTTAAATTAATTAAATATAAGCATATTAAAAAAGAAGGATGCTTCTCAAAGTAGTGGTGACTGAGTGTTGAATAGGAAGTCTTCCTAATTAAGCTGCTCATGTGGTATTTTTGCTTCACTTGGCATGAGCCTTTGTGTTTGCAAATGTAATTCACATATTTGCTGTGGACTTAGGTGTCCTTTGGTGAAAAATCATGATTGTGGCTTCATATATATGGGTATGAATTTGATTAAAATATAAAGAACAATATGCTTAACTAAATGGATGTAGTTGGACTTTTTTTTCCTAAATAAAGCATTGTCCTATGACCAGGTAAGAGCTGGTGCTGGGAAGGCTCTCTTTGATTACAGGTTTTTATATTTTATTTTTGTATCACAGGTTGGAAGATTAATGACTAATTGTTAAACCACTAAAAGCACTTTACAGTGCTATGAAATACTGGGAGATAACACTGAAAGTAGATAGTAATAAGTAGAAGCTCTTTTTAAAAAGCCCTTATAGATTATGTATTTTAGAAGGAAATGAAAAAATAAAGCTATCATAACAGTATTGCTATGTTACAGTGATTATACAGAGTAAATATTAAAAATGCAGTTGTTGGTATTGATGTTAATGGAGTTTAGCTGCTGTTCTTTCCCATACCCTTTTGTTGCTGATGAATGAACTTTCTTCATTATTCTATTAATATTTGAGGTATCAGTAATCATGGCACCGTGGTTAATACAAACTGGAAGATTAAACAAAAGTGCTTTAAATTGTTTTGTGGATTACCAGGCACCGTTTATGCTGGAATTCTCCTCTGACTTTAATCTTGCTGTGGGCACAGAAAGGATTAAACTATTACTAGATGGCTCCAAAATCCAAGTTGTACCCCACAAACCAGAAGTGCAGACTTCCACTAACAGCTTTGAGGACATACTTTGTATGCTGTGATTTGCTTGTGATGCAGACAAATTCATTCTGAAATTACACTTTGCTGTCTTGCTTTGTCACAAGAATTGAAAGGATTCCCCAGTCTGAAACTCTGAAATGGCAAGTGAACCTGAGTTGTTGTGCAGTGCCTCTAGGAAATACGGAGTGTACTGTTTGGGACCTTGAAAGAAAATCTCTAGTGTTGGAGTGGGAAAAATAGAAACATTCATTTAAATGGAGAATGACCCAGAGGAGTCTGCACCCCAAAATACATAAAATTCACCCCAGTGAGTGCAAGACTCCCAGAACCCTCAGGGATGTTTTCCATCACGTGCTGCAATAAACAGGCCAAGACTGGGTCTAGGGCACTCAGTGCTGAAACTGCAGAGAGAATTAAGCAGGGATTAATTGGAAATCCGATAGCTGCCACTTTAATGGACTCCTTGGCACGCACAGTGCTCAGGATGTGTTATTTTGGTGCAGTTGCAGAGGGATATTTTGCTCTCGTGGCACAAACACACACCATCTGCCTCAGGCTGGGGAGAGCATCCCCTGGAACGAGGGTGATGGGCACGTTCATTTTTAGGCTTATGCTCCCTTTCTTAAAGCTCTGTTTGGGGAAAAGATGCTTGAGGAGATGGAAGAATTTGTGTATCCCTTTTCCATTTGGGAATTACTGCATGCACTGCTGCCACATCTGAGTTTAACCCAGAGCTCACTGTACCAGTATTTTTGTCCTTACAGAGGACAAAAGAAGTTCTGTTGGAAGACTCTTGGCTTATAATGATAAATTTAACATGATGTTTTCCACATGAAATGTCAATACATGATGTTTTAAATCTTATTTCTCTTCTCATGTAACATTTTAAAATTTAACCATTCTTAATCTCATTACCACTTCAGCAGTAATACTTTTTTATTATTTTTTTGCATAAAACTCATTTTAATTGGAGTAACACATATTGCATGTTTTATGAAACACCTCCATCGAAAGTCTTGGATAATTTCCATTCAGGTCCCTACAGACCCATCCAGTTTGAAAATACACTGTTTTATCCTCTCCTTAATTACAGAGTCTGAACTAGGCAATGTTCTTAGGAGAACTACTGATTTTTTTTTCTTTTTTTTTAAGGAATCTGCGAAAAATTTTATTTTCACTAATGCTTTCTGATCAATCCTATGTCACTGCTTATGACATAAGCATAGAAAGAAATTCTGTCTTTTCTGAACTTGGTTTCCCACTATGTGGATCTAAAAAGAAAACCTTTTGTTTGCTACTGAAGTACAACTTGCTGACATAAATTCATGGAAGCAGCAGCTCCATCTCCCGTGCAGATGGGTGTGATTCACAGGTGCCAAATGCAGCTTTTTGAAAAGGAAACTTCAGCACTGTTTGCTGCTGAGCTGATGTGCCCACCTGGACAGAGTTTTCTGTGGTGTATCTGTTAGGATTTTAGAAGGATGAACTTGTTAGTTTGGCAGTTAAGTACATTTTTAATTCAGTGAGGAACTTTCTTGGGAATCTGTGAGCAAGGTAATTTAAAGAAAATCAGCTCTTTCAGCTCTTGCAGGGATATTTGGTAGGTTTAGACTCGAATCTGTGTAATCCCCTTTTAGGTATTCATGAGGTTTTGATGTGCATGTGTCCCTAGTGGAAAATACAGGCATATTTCAATATAATTTTGTACTCAATTAACCTCACTATTGGCTTACAGGTGTTCAACAGAGTTGCATCTTTTTTTTGCCCGTTTATTGTGGTTAATATTTATGCATAGATTTCAGCTTCTGGGTCTGTAAATCTTTCTTATTGAGATAATTTATTTCTAAGATTACTGAGGATGTAGCTTTTGAGTAGCCTGATACGATTTTTGTCATGCCTTCGTAGTTTTCATCCTTCTCATTTCAACATTGCATCCCGTGACTTTAAACCAACTCTATGTATGTCCTTGATTTCCCAGGCAAAGCCACTGCTGCACTGGCCTCTGCTTCCTTGCAGAGTTCTGTGGATACTTCAAATACATCTCCAATGCATGACATGACAAAATGGAACACCGCGCTCATAGATCACCTTATAAATATTTATTCATATAAATTCTTTAAAGAAATTAAATTACTTGTTCTATACAAAGCAGGAGAGAGAGGCTTTTAGTGTCACTGCCTGCAAATTGAAGTCATTTGTCTGGAAGGGTCAGGTGTCACTTTGTGGCGAGATCCTCGTCTGAGATCCAAGCAGGGGGAAGATTGATGGCACAAAGAGATTGATGGAGCAGGCGCCGCAATCTGCATGCGGAGTTACGGGTTAATTAGGAGGATTTAAACAAGAAAGTCCCTTTGTGGGGAGAAGTGTCGTGTGCTGTTACTCTCAGAATGTGCTGGCAGCCTTTTGAGAGGAGGAGGTGGTTGGCAGAGGTGTTTCTGAGGGGATGTGTGGCGGGTGCCGGGGAGGTGGCAGTCACCGGCGGCGCTCGGGGACACCCGCTCCGCTCACGGCTTTGGGCTCGCTGCTGTTGGTGCTGATGAAATCACCACGCTGGCTCTCTCTGATTCCTCCACCAGAGCAAAAGCATTCATATTTCACACTGCCAAGTTCTTGGGGCGTCTCAAGTGATGCTGATGCGACTGTTTGTTCTACTTTTTAATAGCGGGCCCGGCGCTTCAAGAAAAATCCTAAAGCTAAAAGTGTGCAGTTTAGAAAATGGGAGCTGAGCAATCACCAAACGTTGTTTTTGTGTTGATAGGAAAGCTGTTTTGAAAGAACAGACGCTGCAAACTGTTCCTCACTGCATTACATTCACCAGCCTCCTGGTACACGTAGAGGAGAATAACAAGCTTCTGTTGATGCTGAATCTGAAACAGCACCATCTTTTGTGATAGTTACTCACCTGGCAGGAAGAGAATTTTAAATTTGACTTAAATGCAACAAAACCAAAATGCCCTGTGCCCCTTGTGTCCCGTTCTGTACAAGGACAAAATGCAAATCTTCCAGCAAGGCAGGAATAAAAACCTCAGTGTTTATTATCGTAATAGTTAATGATCTCTGCCTAGAAGATCTGTAAAGACATACCTGCTGAGGGCAAGAGTAGGCACAGGCACGAGGGACTGAGTTATACTTCTAAATACCTGTCATTCTGGTATTTTTGTCATTATATTCTCAACTAAAATTTTGCATTCATGTAACTTCACCTTATTCTTGGCCCCAGAGACAGATCTTGGGGCACGTGACAGCTCTGATCTCCTACAATCCATTTCTCCATTCACCGAATGTGGAGAATCTGGATTTTTGTTTTAATAAGAGAAGAAAGAGGACAGGCAGGCTTTGTCTTGTCTGACTGCTAAGTGTGAGACAGAAAAGGCCTTAAATTGCAGCGAAGATGAAAAATTTGCTCAAGTGGGACAGATGTTTGAATTGCAGACTGTAATTCTACATTAAGGAACGGCAGACTCAATGGGGCCCCTGGGAAATGTGACTGACATCAGAAACAATCCTATTTTGTTTTATGTTATTCCTGTAACGATGAGTGTTGGCTTCTTACGTGGCCAGGTATCTGTTTACTCACGTAACTCTCAGTACAGGAGGAGCTGGAGAAAACAGGAGGTGCAAAACCAACACTCTCTTTTCTCCCTCACATTTTGACTTGCAGGAGCTGTCTCTCATACTCACTGCATTGTTCTCTGGTACTAACACGAGACCAGATACAGGAAAAATCTGTCCAAACAAATGAGTTTGAACACGTCCCACGATACCAAGTGGTGGCTCAGGCACAGCTCCAGTGGCCTTTTTGTGGTATTTAACCTCCCTGCCTGAGTGACAGCTTGCCTCCCATCAGCCTCTCCAGCACATCACCAAGGAAGATGCTTCTACTTTATGAAGAGATGCAGCTTATTGGTATTTTTCTCCACTGCAAGGATTATTTTTTTTCACTGATAAACACAGTGCACTGCTTAATGTGAGAGCTAAATACTAACACTTTGTTTTTCTGTTTGTCTTTTTTTTTCTTTTTTTTTTCAGAAACCAAAACAAAAGGATTGGCATCCTCCTGGAGGGTTTATTTTAGGACTCTGGGCGCTGATCATCCTGGTTTTCTTCAAGACATACGGAATCAAGCACATGAAATACGTCTTCTGAACTGGAACAAGCAAGATTGTGCTACTTTGGGTTTGGGTTCCTGGGTATCACAACATGTGTTCTCTGCAGGTGGATTGTGGTTGTGGTGAAAAACAGTGTTGAGATCTCACTTTCTGGAGGTTCTTTTGAAGTCATCTTTTCTTCCCCTTCCTTCTGGAAAGATTCTAACCAATGGTTTTAATGTTATTTTACTTTGTTTGGTTTTAAACCTATTTGAATGCTTTTCTGAGCATTTTTTTTTTTTTTCTTTCTGATTAAACTTGTAAAGGGGCAGGATTCTAAACCCAGTGACAAGGTTGCTTCTGAATTGTAAATGGGCAGATTCTTTTCCCCATGCTTCAAAGTAAATCTTGGAAATAGTCACCTATCACTGAAGAGCTGGACATTGTGTAGAATGTTATTTAAGATGTCATTTTATCAATAAAAACTTAGGCCACTTTGCAGACTTTGGCATGATGTACTGAAAGCTTTCTTCAGAAAAATAAAAATATCTCTAGAATATATTGATTTTTTTTCTTATTCTTCTTTCTTCCCTGTAAAATGCAACCCTTAGATCAGTCGTTCCACCTTAGGCACTCACCTTTTGAGTTTAGGATTCTGTGAGTTGGTGAAAGTGGAAAAAAAATTAAATAATGACCTTGCTGAATCTGCTTCAAAAATGCAAAAAAAGAAGCGAAACTATTTCACCATGTCCATTAGAAACCCTTCACAGGTGAGTTGTGCTTTCCCTGCATAGAATATGGAGTTGGATGCTTTCAGGATTTTCACTGCAGTGGATTTTTGCACAGGAGAAAATCGACTCCTGGCATTGGGATGAAGAATGTTATAAATTGCACTGTTGTGTTCAGTAGCTTCTGAGCCCTTGGAAAACGTGCTTTACTGCCTGGGCTTTGTGAATTCTGGTTTGGCCTATTGATTTGATCTTCTTGGACATTTCCTGATGAATGTGTGCTAAAAGGGGTTTGTCTGTGGGACAGATTGGTAACTAGTGAAGAGAAGAGCAAATGAGTGGATTTGTGCACGTGTAGGAGCCAGGAGCAGCTTTTGGAACCTGTTCTCTGGCTTTAATCATAATAAAGCTTGACCTGATGCATCCACAGGTGTAAGTGCTGGGTTTGTGTCTCCAGGAGTCATCAGGAATTATCTGTAATCACACATTACATCAGAGTCAAGAACTCAGGATATCGTTTTGAGCGTTTTCATGTGGCACAGCACACCCAAATCTGGGTGCAGAAAGATTTTCATCCTTTTTTTTTCTTCTCTTTCAGTGTGATTGTGGCATCCCAGCCTCGGGTTGGGAGAGGTGAACTCGTCAGAGCTGTGTGGCAGCTGGGAGGCTGCAGAGCAACATCTCTGGTGCATCTCTGGAGTGTTAAAGCCTTCTTTGTCTTCTCCAGGTATCTTCTGGTCTTGGAGAGAATGAAGGGACAGAAATGATCCATTATCAGGAGGTAAACCCTTGCCTGCTAACACCTCTTTGTTGCAGGAATTGTTTTCAGTAGCACGTGCAAAGCACCAGGAATGGGGATTAAAATAAAAGCGTTTGTAACACTGGAGATTTCTTCCCAGTTTCCTGATAAGCTTTTATGCAACTGGTGCACAGATCCCCTCTGCCAACAACAGTGCAAATTAATGTGGGAGAGAAAAGCTCTGTTTGCTGGATGGGATCTCTGGATCTCCTCACAGTGTGTTGGGTTTGAGGTGGTTGGTTTGGTTGTTGTGTTTTTTTGGATACTGTCCTTCAAAAGCAATGACTTCATATCCAAAATCTGATCTAATGGTGACTTTTCTTTAAATCAAAACACCCTTTTGTTTTCCCCCCTCAGCAATCTGTAATGCAAAAAAGTAAGATCTGTTGTAGGCAGACCATGTAGAAATGCAGTACAGAAATGAATCCTAGAGAATTCCTTAGAGGATTTGCTTAGCTTTCCTTTCTTGATCCAACTCTTTTTCAATTGCAGTGAATATTTTTAATCAAATATTCATTTTAATAGGCAAGTTTTGTCTCCCTTTAAAAAGTGGATAAAGTGAAGTTGGTGGAGCTTTGTGCCTTGCTTCAGTTGCAGTTACACTTTACTCAGACTCCTCAGGCCTTATTTAATTTTTCTTTTTCCCTCTTTCTGCCACCTTTTGCAGGAAGTGATAGGAACATCTACAGAACTCAGGATTTTGCCAGTAGCAGAAGATACCAAAGATTCTGTCTTTTTTAGAAGCTTATCTGCATGGGGAAAAGGAGGCAATTAGGTGGGTTATTAAAATGCAATTTATGAACAGAGGCACTCAGTAAGTGTGCCTGTGAAGGTGATTAAATTGAAGTGAGAACAACAGTTGGACTGGAATGCAGCAAACTTTGCTTCAGGCATAACATTTTTGTATGCACAGAGTGTGAGTTTAAATGGATCGTTCTCAGAGACACCACAAAGTTACCTGTGCTGCAATTATGAGACAGCATTTCCTGTGGTGCCCTAACTTTTATTCTTTGAATAGTTACAGTGCTGAAAGCAAGCACAGAAATGTCAGACTTGTCTGTAAGTAAGTGTGTTCTGTACATTTATTTTTTTATTTGAAATCTTTGCATGATCCCTGAGAGCCCTTCAAACCCAGTTTGAGATGTGGGCTCTGGGAACCAGCCAGGTCGCCCTCTCTCACAAACCCACCCGTGTTCTGCAGGCCAAGCAGTGCCCAAATATTGACACCAGTGTGTGAGTCTGAGCTGCACCTCCATAACAGACTGAAAAGTGAGATTCCTGCAAAAATCAGTGGAGAAAGAAGCCTGAGCAGTGATGAGACAATCAGTGTCTCTTGGTCTGTGCCAGCAGTTTTCATATTTATGTGACTGTCACCATGAAATGCTGTTCTGTTCTCTGCTCAGAAGTATCTTTGCAAACATCATTAGTGATAAAGTGCGTCTCTAGTTCGAGAGAGTGGGCTGGTTTTTTTTGGGGTTTTTCTCTTTTTTTGGTTTGTTTTGGTTGGTTGGTTTTTTTCCCTGCTAAAAGCTGGTTTGTGTTATTGATTACAGAAAAGCAAAAGTAATCTGGTTCTAATTCTCTTGCTGAGTTGTCTGCACACTGAGCCTGTTTCTGTCTCTTGTTTCAGCAGTCAGGGATTTCCACTCTCAGCTGACACATCCACAGAATGTACTGGAAGTAAAGGGATCTTGTGGTCAAATCTGCCTTCAGATGGGGCATCAGTGTATGCCGAGGCAGGGCTGAGTTGCACTGTGAGTGATTTGGGAAGGAGCTAAGACCAGGTTCGGGTGGAGAGGATTTGCTAAGTGATAAGGTCAGGGAGATGTTTCACTGCATTCCCACAGGAGTGATTTGAAGGACCAGCTGAGGCAGGACAAGGGAAGTCACTCATGGTATTTTAAAAGCTTGAGAGCTGCTGCTTTTTCTTCTCTGATGGATTCTTAGAGGGAGGGAATAAAAACAAGTTTCTGAAGGCTTCCACAGAACTGAGCTAATTATCCATTCAGTATAGATGGGGAAAGGAGATGCTGCTGATTTCTGGTGAATAGTGAAGGTTTCATCCAGTGCTTTGTTTCGTTGTGAACTGAAAAGCTTGTGTGAGGTCAGGTTATTTGGGCTTGATAAAAATATATGAAGTGGATGGCAGTCCACAAGGTGGGAATGGTGCATTTCAGAGTCTGTGGCATCTGCAGAGGTGACAGCCTTTGTGCATGGTTTGGGGACAGGGACTGGGCACACCCAAAGCTCAGTGTCCCCATGTACAGATCTTCCATCTGTGTCACACAGCCCTGGGTGACCTGGGAGACTTTTATATCATCCAGAATAATTCACCCTTGGTCTGAGACAAGCGTAAAATATTTCACCCAAGAGACTAATCTGTCCATAAAGTTATGAAGTGTAGGAAAAAGCAGTGTATATAATTAAAGTGTCTTCTGAACCATGTGAAGATCAAACTCAGGCTGGAGCTGACAGGGTGGAAAGTCGTGGCTCGGTAGCAGTGGTGGTTGTCCTGCAGGACTCTCTTCCCAATATTCGACCAGATGAGCCCCAAAAACTCTTCTAACCATCCCTGCAGCACTTCTGTCCAGTAATGAGTGTAACAGGTTTTGCATTTTTTAAGTGGTGAAAGGCAAATTAAAAAAACAAAACAACAACAACAAAAAAACCCAACAAAACAAAATGGAGAAATGTTTCTCATGGAAAATGATATCCAGTATTATTTCTGCTTTCCCTCCTTCCATGAACTTTTCCAAGTAAAAAGCTGTCAGGAAATGCATCTTGAAAGTGCTGGTGTTTTATGATGAAAACTTGCATAGGCTGCATAACATACTCTGGAATCAGCATTTCATAGAGCTCATTTCACTTGCAAGTTCTTTTGAGTTACTTTTTCGCCCTTAATGAGGATTTCTGCCTGATTGAGTGATTAAATTGATAGTATTTAAGGTTTCCATTCAAGGATGTACATCCATTAATGTCTGATTGTGCCAAGTCTCCTTCCTCATGCGAATTTTAGCTTTAACTTTTTTTTTTCCCCTTTCTTTCTTTTAATGTCTGTGTGCAAAGAACACCGAAGCCTTGTCAGAAACCCAGCCAGTTTGGCTGCTTTGGCCAACAGGCCTGATGCTCTGTCCTTTCTTTATATCCAATATAATGTTATATGGTCAAATGCTTGGATATTTTACAACAAGGAGTCTCACCAAGCATTAGATACTGCTTTTTTGTTTTCATTAAGTTACTTTTCCTGTACTAGTTTTCCTGTCCAGGTTAAGTTTGTAGCTCAAAATATTATGACTCAAACTGTGGTAATTTTAGGGTCCCCTTTTACCTCCCTTGGGCTTTGTAATACAAGTAGGATGGCAAATAGGGTCAGTGGGGTCATCAGTGTATCATTACAATGGATCTTTGTATTCTGTACAGGTTTTCACACTATATTTGTTTGGGTTTTTTGTGTATTCAGAAGGTTGCTGATTTCTCTAGGCTGCTCCTTCTCTGCAGTGGAGGGATGAGGAGCAGCTTCCCAGTGTTTATGGAGTGCACATCTACACATGTACAGCCACAGTGCAATAATAATAATAATAATAATAATAATAATGCTGTGGTGGAAAATGTTCCAGTTTTGTCCAACCCACATGAATGAACAGTCCCACTGAATTACCACTACCCACTTTCACTTTTGGCCTTGTGTACAGCTTGGTTACAGCAAGGATGCAATGGGGAAGCACATCCCCTTAGGTTATAAATCCATGCACTCCTTCTGCCTGTTTGTTAAAACATAAACCCAACCCGAGCTCTTGCTTTACTTAAACTCAGCCACACCAAATGGTTCCCACCAGAATTTCCTTTGGTTTGCTGTTAATTGACTCTCACCATGCTGCATGTTTGGATCCTAACAGGCTCCAGCTAATCTGACAGGCAAAGTTAAATCAGCAAAGTCCTTAAAACCTTGCTAAATATGTGTAATTCCCTTTATCTTCCCTGTACTTCAGGAAGTGTCCTAAAAGCTCCTGACGTTATCTAAACACTTGTCTGGGCTGTGTAAAGAAACTGGCAGATGGAAATATCTCTGGGCATCTCCTATGGGAGATAAACCTGTTCTCAGAAACCAGATTATTAAGATGACTTTCTGTGTCTGTTAAAAAGGGCCCAGTCTTGCTCTCCAGCTGTGCTGGGTGCTTTGGCATTGCCCTCAGTAAAAGGAGAGTGCAGTTCCTGTGGCTTGATCTTGTGACTGGCTTGGCACACAGAGGGTTTGGCAAGGCTGGAACTGACCTTTACTGTACAAGCTGATGTTCACTGGATACGTTTTTTCATGGTTTTAATCTGTTTATTTTAAATGCAGTCTAGCTCCTGTATCCTATGGCCCATGCTGGATCCCAAGTGAAAAGCAAAGAAAACCAGAGGAAAATATATTGTGACATTTTTCCCGTGGAATTCTGCTTGTGCCCTTGAGCTGATGCTGTGTCCTCTTAGCCTTATTTCCCATGTTCAGACAGGTTCCATAGGTAAGGATCATCTTCTTTTTCACTTTTTTCCTTCTGTATTACCATACCTTCTTTGAAAGTCTTTTTTAAAGAGACACCTTGCAAAGCTAGTTGTGGAACTCCAAGTGGATCCATCGCCTGTGTCTCCTTGTCCAACTGCTTCAGAGAGCTTGGAAAAACTCCTAACAGATTGGCAAGGCAGGGCTTTGCTTCCAAAAGCTGCCAGTGTGTGCTCCCTGGCTGGCAAAGGTTCACAGCTCTTTCCACACACCTGCATTTGCCATGGAGGCTGTTCCACAGCCCACCAAGAGGAAAGCCATCATCTTTGTTTCCACTTGGATCTCCACCCACGTGGTCATCAAAGGGCACCATTTGGCATTTCATGTTTTGGTGTCATTTTCAGTGCAGAGAACATTTAACACTTTAGTGGTTTTAAGGGTACTTAGCATAAGCAGAGCCATTTTATAAAAGATTGAGTTTTAAAACTTTACTGCTTCAGCACAGAGACATTTTCACAATCTTAGACATCTGCCCTTTCGTATTTCTTGGGTTTTTATTGAAGAAAATAGTCCTTAACATTTTTTTTTCCCGTTCTCCTTTCTCTTTACAAAATCTTATGCTTGTGACATGCAAGGTGTGCTTTTGCAGTGATCAGTAGGAGCTGATGTCTCTGGGGAAGGTGGAACTATTGGTACCTGTAAGTTTTCTGTACTTCCTTTTCTTCTGCAGTACCTTTTGCTGTCTTACAAGCACTCTTTGACTGTTTAACTGCTTCTTTATGTGGTTTTTTTTTAAATTCCTGTGTTATTAATTGAATTAGAAACTGTCTCCTTGCATCAAATTAAATAATTAACTTTCACTAGATCAGAAATTCTTATCAGCGTTTTTCCAAGAGTTTTTGTGGCACCTCTGATCGATTCATAGAATATTGAAAATATTCTCTGCAGGACATTCCACTCAGTCAGCTCCAACCTGAGCTGGAGTTTGACCTTCCCATTCCAGGGGAATACAGCTAGATGGCACAAGCCACATTTTATTCCTTACTCCTCAGATTCCCCTCACCTCACCCCAATGTTTTTCCAGCTATTTTTATATTATTGTTTCCTTGTCACCTTGGAGCTATTTCAGGTAAAAATCACTTGGCTTCCTGTGAAGTCTGCCTGAAGAATACAGCAGGACAAGACCCAGGCAAGCACCTCCAGAAGAATTTTATTAGTTTACAGGCCTGTTCAGGTGTATGTGGCGGTGCCACTATGTGTCCTACTGGATCGAGCCAGGGGAACCAGTCAGCAGACCTGAATCTCTCCCCAGTCTAATTCCCAGGCTGTAACTTAGTCTCAGTTTCTTTCCCTCCCCAGGAACAGAGTGTTAACTTGTCTTTCCGAGGTGCTTCAGCCCTTTGGACGGATGGTTTGCGTGTCCTGGTTTTGGCTTTGTCCCCCACGATGCTCAGCTGGGCATCCTGCAGCCCTTGTGCCAACAGAACAGAAACAGAACAGCTCTGGTATTTTTCTGTTCTTGCTTGTTTTCTTTATCATTCTCGGTCCCAGCTGCACAATATCCTGGCCCAAGAGCTACAGCTCCTCGGGATGAAAACCAGCTCCGATGACGACGACATCGCGCGTCACAGCCCAAAGGTACTGAAAGCTGCTGGTGTCTCTTTTGCAAGCTCTGTTTTGCAACAGCTTTTAATCTGTGAAAAGATGTGCTGCAGGTCGATCAAATGACAGAGGAGAGTGTGAGGTGACAGCAGAAAGCAGAGAACGGCAGCAGTGCCTCCTCTGTACGACCCATCCCTGGGCCGACAGCGTTTTCTGTCATAAATCTGTTCGGTTTGTAACTAGGCCATAAAACCTTACTTCAGGCCAAAATGCAGCAGGATATCCTGCAGTTCAAAGATTTGTGCTTTTATAGAGAAATAGATCACTAATTTGTTAATTGAAATTGCAGCACTTTAACAGTTATTTACATTTCTTTTGCACTTTGCTTTTTGGACTCGATTTATGTTCCATATAAATCTGTGTGATCTGTTCAAAACTTGCTGTCCCCTTGGCTTCATCAAGTTCCTTTTTATATATACAGGTGTGACTTACTTGTAGAAAATGCTCCTTCATACTTTCTGTAATTAGATGGGGGACCTTGCTGAAGCTTCATGGGAGGTTGGTGAGACTAAAGTGAGTTTGGGTTTGTTTTGTTTGAAAGACTGGATGTGTATGTGGGTAGCAAAACCAGTTATTAACAGAAACCGAACAAGGAATAAGTTACAATCCTTAGCTTCACTCTGTTACAAGTTAGGAGATTTAGTGTCACTTCATCCCATGTCTCTTTATATTCTTAATGCTTCACCTATCTATTTGACCAGTCCTGCAGACAGGAAACAAGCATGTGGAACACAGTGGAGACTGGCAAGTCCCCTTGTTTCTACTGAATACTGAAAGAGACCAGTGTAATCTATCTTTAAATGATCTTTTTTTTAACGATAACATAACTAAACATACAGCATACAGACATCCTGCAGCCCTCAATTAATGGAAGAACTAAGAGCTCTGGTTTAGAATGACAAGATCTTTTTATTACCATATCACTAATAAAACAAGGATGGTAGCATCAGAGGACCTCCTGTGATCTGTACCATCTCTTGCCAGTCACATTAGAAACGACCTGTAAATCAATCTGACAGATTCCATCAACTGGAGCAACATCTGCTGGATACATGCCCCAGTACACACGCTGACAGGGATGTTCAAATTACCATCAGTTCAGAATCCATTCTGGTTTCTGTAGAACGCAGTGAAGTCGAGTGGAAGGAATAAAACACCGTCAGTGAAAGAGGGGGAGTTGAACACCGGCTGACGAGAGACAGGTTACGAGCAACTGGCATTGTTTGTAGGCTCTGTGTGTACCAGGAAGAACACCCAAATAAAGCTTTTAAGGCAAAACAGGTTATAGTTCCTTACTTTTTGATACAGGGGGAGGGCTGCAGCAGGACAGTGGCTCTTGTTTTGCCCCTGACAGGAGAGTTCACTTTGTCCCCAGAGGATCAGGGTATCTGTCAGGCAGCTGCAGCTATTGCTATTCAGTTTTGGAAAGAGGAAGACCATGGGTTAAAAGGGGGTTTAAATGATGATAGTGAGTTTGGTCCCAGTTCTACGGATCACCTCTGAGGTTCAGCTTCTCGGATTTAGATGTTTAAAGGTAGTATCTTTGTTCTAGCTTTCACATTTGTCTAGTGAGAGACACCTTCCATCACCTGAGGTATGTTTCATGCAGTAGTTACTCATTACTTCGAAGAAATTAGGAGGTTTGAGACTTGTGAAGCAAAAAAGGAAAAATAATGATGTAACTGAAATCTTCTTTATTCACCAGCCAAATGTAACCCAGTAATTCCCACTGAGAGGTTCCACACACAGCACCAGCACTGTCCTTCCCCTTGGCTCGCAGGGACTCGCCACGCACATCCAGGTAACTCCATGGAAAAAAACTGCCAAGTTTAACTTTGCTCTTTTCAAGAATACAACTCTGTACTTGTGGAACTCTTTTCACATCCCAGCTTCAGTGTGATCCAGGATCTCTGAGCTCGCTGATGATCTTGGGACTGTGCAAGGCAGAGGTTTTTGCAGGTGCAGTGTTGTGACCTTTCTGGTGAGTATGGCTGGTATTGTGGTGGTTTAACTTCTTCATTCCAGAAATTGGGTCTCGTGTTGTTTCAAGCAGTTGTGGCCTGGTTTTGTAGTCTGCTGCCTCAGGAGGGTCCCTGCCAGCCTCCTGCAGGAGAACAAGTGACAAACCAGAACACAACCCCTCCAGCCTCAGCCCGGTGTCTTCGCTGAGAAGCACGCTGCCATAGCCAGTGGGGGTTGGGGGTTGTTTTTTCTGTGATAAATTTTGTTTGCCCTCCTTCCTCCCACCCCTGTTTAAAAACCAGCAGCTTGATGGCACAGCAGCAAATGCACATTAATATCAAACAGAATTTTCACTACCGTTTTCGGATTAACATGAGATGTCAGGATGTAAAGTGAGCTGGATCTGCACATGGGACCACTCTTGCCATTAAAGGCTTTAGGCTGGAACGGAGCCCAAAATTTTTAGAAGAAATGCAACATTTCCTGATCAAATATTCATTACATGCTATATAGAATTATATATTTCAAACAAATTTTATAAATAAAAAGCTAGGCCTTTCAAAACCATCAGCAGTATTAATTTTGCATTTGAAAGATTATGAAAGATAAACAAGCACGTAACTGTGAATTAGAAAAATACCGGCCTAGGTTGCATAAAAACCTCGGTTAAATAAATACTGTTAAGTTTTCACTATGAAAATTTCAGTGGCATTGCACTTAAAAAAGCCGTAATGAATTAACCATCCGGTAACGACACTCGAGGTGTTTTTCACAAATCACGTGACACACACGGGAATGGGTGGGGGTCAGGTGGCCCAAAAAGGGCCACGTGCTGGGCTAATAACGCAGTTCCACAGAAAGTACTCTCGGTACGTGCTGCTCCTCCATCCCAACTTCCCGGCTGCAGACCCTGTTCCCCCGTCCCCCGGGCTGCGGTGCTGCCCCAGGAGCTCCAAAGGCTGGCACAGAAGGTGACTGTGACTGTGACCCCCCCTCAGACCAGCGGTTTGGCCTGGGGGCGGTTCCCAGGGCGTGGTTCTGGTTTCCAGTCTGGCTGGAAGAAGCGGATGTCGAATGTCCGCGCCCAGCTCTCGAAGACGCGTTTCTCCGTGATGAACCGGTGGTGGCTCCCCTTGCGGCCCCGCTCGTGGGAGAGGTACATTGTGCATTCGTCGGGTCCCAGAGGCTCATAGTAGTGGTAAGGTACTGAAAGATGGTTAGGATCCCTGTGGGAAATAAAAGAAAACAGGTGGAAGCCCAAGATGTTCCTGTTCACTGATTGAAAGGATGCTATCTGTAATAAACTGACGGGCTCAAATCCACTTTTTCTCCCAGTTAAACTAAATTTCTAGGCAGCTGTATTTTTGTTGCATATTTAATACGTGAGAACGGAGCAGAGGTGTTTTCTTTGCTCTTTCTACTGCTCTCCTTTAATCCTCCCCCCAATTAAACGCAGGGCAGCAGTAGCTCAGAAACAAGGGAGAATGCTGCAGGGCCTGCGTTACTGCACACCACATTTGAAGCAAACTGCTTTTAAAAGAGATTTGTATCTAGGCTGTGATTTGTAAAAGGTCTTGCAGAGGTATTTACTGAACTGGGGGAAGAAAGGGAAGAGGACAGAGGGGAGGTGGTTATCTGTGTCGGCTCAGCTGAACGTTCCCAGTGCGGCACGCGAGGGAACACCTTCACACCTTCAGGGAGTGCATCTGCGTGCCAGGTCAGTGATACACAGTCTGCTGTTCTGCTGGGTTTGTAAGCAGAACAGCTGATGCACAAATGGGTTCTTTTTTTTATTTTACAACAGTGTCTGAGCTAAAATTTGAAACGGTTCACCCCTACTCTCCCTCTGACCTTGGGACCCTGCTCGCACTACCCGGCAGGAGACGAGAACTCACGAGGTGACACACAGGGTACTCCAAAGACCAATCAGGTACTTAGGATAAAGTTCATTTTACCGTTCTAACCTCAGTGTTTTGATGCTGCAGTCTGTAAAAGGCACACTTGTATTATAATAAGCCAGAGTGATTCATTCTCCTTTTGTTTTAATCTCTATATTAAACTGTGCCCAGTATGTTTTCTTTCCTCTGGGCACGGCGTTTTGGCCCGACAAGAACTCCCACAACCCTCTCTGTCATGAATTCAAAGAGAGCAAGCTGTTCCAGACAGAATAACCCAATTGTACCGCTCTCCACAGTTGCTACCAAGTATTTTGTTGTGGCAGAGAAGTTAATCCAAATATCAGCATTTAGTGAAGCCTTGGAGCTGCTCTGTGTTAAAGCCTGAGCTGAACAGGACCCTAGTACAGAGCAAGAAATCTCATGCAGATTCCAGACTGTCAGCTCTAATACACAGTTGATTATTTCCATTTTGAAGAGCTAATATTTAAGCTCACTTTCAATTGAATGCATCCACAGTCTGTCAGCGTTCTGTCCTGGCCATTATTTTTACTTGTAATTCTGTCACCTAAGCAATTCTCTAATTTTTCTTATTTTGCCATTATCCATACTGTGTGTGCAGAGGTAATGTATGATATTGCTGCTGCTTCCCATTTGTGCCTTAGATTAACGTTTTAATTCCATCCATCAGGCTTCCTCGCAACCCAACACGGTGATCAATCTTACAACAACAGAATAACAATAAAATTACATTTCCAGAATAAGATGGATTCTAAGCTTATTAAATATATTCTCACCGGAATATATAAGAGTGAAACAAAATCCTTCATTACCTTACCTACAGAAAACATATTTGTAATGTAAAAACTACCCTTCAGGTAGAAATTTAATACTTTTAAGCTATTAGAGGTCAGTCTTCAGTTAATTTTTTCACTTTTTTGATACACTGGACCTCTTCTTATTGTCACTTACTTAAATGAATAATTTGTATGGTTACTGTAAATCGAACAGGATACATTTTCATGTGATTTATTTTCGTTAAGAACTGCTAAACAAATAGGTCTCTGCCTCTCATTTAGACTCTGGAAGGTGGATTCTAATCTTCTGTTCTTGAGGGTTCTTGGATTCCCTGAGGTTGCATGCTGGTAAACTTTGGATTTGAACTGCGGCTCGAGTAACTACACCATAACCCAAATTAACTGTGCCGTGTTATCTTCTAACTCTGCAATTAGCTCGTGGCACCAGCAGATGAAATGCATGAGTAATTTCTATAAGGAAATTGCTTGCCAACTCATTTATTAACATTAAAACAGATGCTGTTTCATCACTGACTGATACTGGACATTAATCAGTGTTTTGTCAGACTCTGCATGCATATTAATATCACAGCTGGGAGGGATGTGGGGAAGTTCCTCTGTGAAATATCCTATATTTCCTTCCTGGTAGCCTGCCAGCACAGCACCCGTGTCAGTGCTTGTACCCGTGTCAGTCAGCTGCTGTTTGCCACTTGAGTGCACATTTTCCCACAGATGGTATCCACCCCCAGCCAGAGCTGAAGGCACAGTGAACACTGCTTGCCTCCAAAGAAACAAGGCAGGAAAACCAGGCCACGCCGCATCACATTCCGGTCAACCTCTTCCTTTAGAAATGAAGTGCCATTATAAATCAACCCTCTAAAACTACAGGCACTCACTCACTCTGTAAAATAATTCATATTCTGAAGGCTGGATAAAGTGTCATTAATATGTTGAGTGATGGGCAAGGTGCTGTGCCAGGACTATGAAGATTTCCGGGTAATTTTTTTGCCTTCTATTCCCAGGGTCCCATTTCCCTGACCTCCACTATTAGCCCTGTTTTCCAAACCATTTATGCATTTTGTTACTAAGGTACTGAGATGAAGCACATTGGACTATCTCCCACACAGCTTAGAGTCCTGCAAGCCCCTCTTCTTCCATCAAGCCCCTCAGGAGCTCCAGGAGATGTAACTTCCAACAACTGCTTCTCTGCATTTGATTTAAAGGAACTGGGAGTGGAGAGAGGGAGGTAAGAAAACACTAGATTTAAAAGCTGTAAAAGGAAAGCTTCAGGGACTGTGGTGGTATCTGTGCACCACTGTCAGGTGGGTGTAGGGAGGCGAGAGGAAAATCCTCGATGTCCCAATTCAGGCTGCCAAAGGGAGCTCAGAGAGGGAAAGGTTTCCCATCTGGGGTGCTCAGTTTGCTCCAGTGAGTGCCAGGATTGGATCCCTGGGCACTGGAAAAAATACAGCAAGGTGGCTTGTTTGTCTTGTGACCAAAGAGTGAGAGGTGCACACACTCTAAAGAAATCAAGCCTTTAACCCTTACTACAGCATAAATCTGTAGCAAAGTAAAGGGGGTTGAAATTTCATATAGCTTTGCTGTAAACTACTAAAAATTTATAAGAATCAGGACCCCAATTCCAGTTCAGCTCTGAAACTCAGTGTCCAGTGAAAGTAAATAGGAATTAATCTAAACCACCTTGTTGCCATTAATAGTGACAAATCTTTTACTCAGTACTCCAGACTCCTTCACTAGACTATTTTTCCTGCACGGGTGCAAAGCAATTTGGTTAATGATCTTAAGCTAATAATTTGTAGCAGAATCAACAGTGTGATATTCACGGTACCTTTGAGGTGTCCTTCACGTTACAGATGTGGCACTAATTCAGTTCCACCACAGCGATCACCACCCTTGTTACTTACTCCCAAATTAATGCTTTAAAAAAGAATCTGCTGAAATTTCAAATCTGGTGATGTGAACTCTGAATAGAAATAAGATTTTGGGGTTTTTTTTTCTTTTAATCTTAATGATTCTTTGTTGCACAGTGACTAGGGTACCCACACCCTCTCTCACACACATTACAGAGTTATTACAATTACAGTGTATTTATTTATTTCTGTTCTGTTGTCTTATTTCCTTGAAAGGAGGCACTGTTTAACTTCTTAAAGAGTGGCTGAAGAGCAAACTAAGAAGGTTAACTGTATTTATAGCAAGACACTCACAGATCTTCATGGACAGCTTCTTCCAGGCATGGCAACTACTTCATCATCTGGGGAATCAAGCTGAAGTAAAGACACTTCATAATATTTTGATTAAGAAATGACCTTTTTCCTTTTTACAACCAGGTGAGCGAACCTTTATGTTAAGATATTTTTTTTTCTTTTAATGCAGGCTGTAAGCACTATTACACCAGAGGCAGGATTAATTTACAGCCTTTCCTGGGTTATAATTTAACATTACAGCCATTCGATTTCAGTGTATCAATTCCATGAAAACCTTTCATGTGGCCTCAGGGACATTTTTAGCCTCTCTTAAAATCTGTTTGGGTTTAGTGGTTTTTTGTTCGTTTTTTTGTTTGGTTGGGGTTTTTTTGGTGTTTTTTTTGTTTTTGTTTTGGGGTTTGTTTGTTTGTTTGTTTGGGGTTTTTTGGTTTTTTTAAAAGATGTATATGTATCTAAATTATCCTGACTTTGGCTGAAAAGTCAGGACTGTGCATTATTCTGCAGTGAAATGCTGTCTTCTAGCATTTTTAGATCATCAGTTTAATAATTATTATTTCCATGTACCACTGGAATGCAGCCCTTTCTGGACTGGGACAGACCAACCACTTGCATAAACTGAAGAAATATGTCTTGGCCAACCGAAATGACAGGGGAACGGAGATGCTGTGCTGGGGAAGGTATTTGTGTTGTCTGGCATATCTGATCTGGTTTGTTATTTTCCTTGGAGGATTCATGATGAAGTCTGGCAGTACATCACAGCATTTATCATCGGTCTTTTGTTATAATTTGTAGAAATCCTCACAAAGTGGAGTTTAGTGTTGACATTTTATGCTGTGATTTCTTCAGGGATGTGCCCAGGACAAATGCAGATTCCTGACTGATCCTTTTAAGTCAGTCAGGAGGACTTTTCTCAGAGGAAAGTCAAAGCAGTCCTGAGTCAAAGCAGTCCTGTTCTCTGACAGATGCACTAACCTGGCACTGCAGCCTCGCTCCCCTTGCCCCTGAAAGGCCCCTGGAGTTGGCCAATTTGTGTGTTCCTTCTACCACTTGTGGCCCACACCCCTTGTGCCCCAAAATGGGCAATTAATAACAGGACTGATCCTCTGTGTGTCCACATTCTGGGAGAGACGTTTGGTGGGGATTATTTAGTTTACTGTAAAATTATGATTCATGGGACAAAGATGCAACAATCTCAATTTCTGCTGCACAGAAAGTTCAATTTAGAAACTAGTCACTGTGAGAATGCTGTTCCTCTTATTAATTTGGGGGGAACTTGAAAAAACAAATTAAAAGTCATGTTTTCCAGTACTTCTTTCTTCAGATTAATTTCATGCCAATTATTGCATTACTTTTTAGTTGATAAATATTCAGAGACTGAAAGAAACCAACAAGATGGATTAATTCTCCCACACTACAAACAAAATTTTTTTAATATTTTCCATAACATAATTAAACTCTTTTTGTTGTTTTCAGAATGAGATTGCGGGACGTCTTAATTAACTGCTCTAAGAGGACTGAAGACACGTTGCAGGAAAAAAAATAAAATTAAAAGATTCTGATTTTTATCTGTAACATTAACTTTGTTGGCTAATAATGGTTCCAAAACAAAGATCCTACCTGCAGAAATCCGGTGGCACCATGCCATAAACATTTATCCTGTCACAGAGCTCCAACGCGATAGCCATCGTGAACCAGCCCGTGCTGAGCCAAGTGTTGGATATCTTCCTGAAAGCAAAAACAGAATTAAGTTTCTAGGCTGACAAATAATTCTCGAGGCTTATTTATTTGTTTGTTTTTCTTGAAACAGCAATTTTTTTCCCCACTCTCATGAAAGGCCATGAAACCTGGGCAACCACGACTGCTTTGCTCGTTCATCTTTTAATGATTTTTGCTTAGTGTGTCCTGCCAGTGGCCTCATCTATGCAGAAACCGCCCTGGCTGTAATTAATTTTGGGGCACAACAATGTTAATATTTAGCTGACCTTTTGGTAAATTTACTTTAAGTGACTGAAACTTCATGCACTGTATTTATATTCTACTGCTAGCAATCTGTACACATCTGTAATCACTTAATGGAGCTTGCACTCTAAGTGCTTAGGAAGATGCATCACGGGGAGATGAAGGGGCTGCTTAAAATGCTGTGGGAACAGCACACAAAGGAGCCTGTCTGTGTGAGTGACACCTGGCCTCGAGTGCTCCTTGTAACTGTCTCTCCTCCCACCCCACCCATGATTTGGGTTTCTGGAAGCTCCCACAGCCGCTCGCTGTGACTGCTGGCAGGAAGTTTATCGGGCTGCAGCTTTGCCTTTGTCCCCACAGCCAGCCTGGGAAACCTTTATCCTGGGAAACCTTTATCCTGGGAAACCAACCTTCATCCTGGGAAACCAACCTTCATGCTGGGAAACCTTCATCCTGGTATACTTTCACCCTGGGAAACCAACCTTCACCCTGGGAGCTACCCCTCTGCCTGCCCCGAGTGCCATCCCCTCCCCTGGCCTTCTCTGCAGGCTGGGAGGTGGCTTTCAAAGAAGCTCAACTGATCCCAGCATTATTTATGCAAAACAGGAGGTATCTCCATGTAATTTTGGATTTGCAAATGGTGTTTCAATTTTGCAGTGTCACAGGTTCTTATCTGCAAAAAGGCAACAGTAATGTTTCCCCTTCCTCTCATTTGCTCCCCAGTGCTGTTGGGTGCGTAAGAGCTGGGTCCTGTGGTGGTTTCTGGTTGCCTGGCACGTGCACTGGAATTCCCAGTCCTGTGTTAAGTTCCTGCACTTGGCTCTGTGCTGTGGGAGGGCTGGCAGTGTTGGAATGGAAGGATCAAGGAAATGCCAGTGAGGAGCACGTCTTAAAGGTGTCACAAGGGCATGGTTAGGGGCTGGCACCTCTCTTAGACATGCAGGCACATAAAGGAGGGCATTTGCTCCAGAGAAAAGGAGTTCAAAGGTCTCCTTTCAAATACTGTTAAAGAAGAAGACAGCCAGGTCTCCCTAATGGCTCCTCACTCAGCTAGAAAAGTCCCGCAGGAAGAAGTTCAAGCTTGTGTTATCTGCAGCCCCAAAAGGCCCTGGATTCCTGCTGACAGCCTGTCACAGTGCCTGGCTCTCCCTTCACCTCCTGCTGAAGCTGAGGCAGTGTGGGAGCAAGGCCAGGCTCCTGGAAGGCGTGGGCGCTGTGTCAGATGGGATTAATGTGGAACCTTCATCAACCCCCTCTCGCCCACACCTGCCTGATACCCAGGAAACTTCGTGACATCACCCCCACCAAAAATAAAAAAAGCACAGCAGAAAACGTGAGGTTCTCTCTGGAGAAGCCACCTGGGAATCCCAGGTTCTGACCCGAGTTCCAAGGCCATCTTTTAGTTTACCCAGCGACAGCACAGTGTGGAACAGTCCTGGAAGGAGGGACCTGAGACCACAAAAAAACCACTGCAGGCGAGTGCCAGCAATCACTGATATCTCATTCGGGCGAAAAGAGCCACCACGCAGCTTCCCAAGCTAATGCACAACAAGCTGCTCCCAAGTAGGTCACCTACAGGGCAGGAGGAGGGAGACGTTCAGAGCACTGTCAGATTGAGGAATGCCTTGTACCAAGCTTCCCATTTCCTCAGGGAATTTTAAGACTGCTGCAAAGAGAAAAACCAAGTGGTGGTATCAGTGCTGGCTGCTCGAAAGACACTTCTAAAACATAAGGGAATTCTTTCAGCAAGTATGCCTGAAGGATGAGCCTCGTTTATTTGTCCTGTCCTTTGTGGGTGACGTGCACTCCTGAAACACACATTTTTACTGCTCCTGACATACAGACTGCCAGGCTAGGCTGGCATTTGGAGAATGACATGTTTTAAGCATCTCATCATTTCCAATTACGGGCCCTTATTTATTTTCTGACTCTGAAAGTGTGGAGCTGGGGGGTGGTGGTGCAGTTTGTCACAGCGTCACAGCTGGGGCACGAGCTCAGCACAGACCTTCAGGCACTGCAACAACACAAACCAGTACATAAGGATTTTCGGCTCAAAACTATTAGGAAAGGGAAGAGTGGGGAAAAGCTTACAAAACTTGCTTCTGTGAATCAGTAGGTAATTCAGGAACATGCTCAGGCTAAGAGTACTCTGGAGCTTGCACAAGGCCGCTGTTCCAGGTGCCTAACACCTTACATTCCAAATCCCAGGGAACAAGTGTAGCTGGACCATGACAAAAGGCTCTGCACAAGGTCAGGCAACCCAGCTAGGCTGTCTCTTGGGTTAGTTTTCCTTTTTTACTTACACACCCTCACACTGTAATTTAGCGTTTTCAATAAACAGGAGAGTAACTGAATAGAAATAAACTAGCTTAAAAGCTAAACAATCAAATAAAGATTTAAAAATTGATTCAAGTACCACTTTGACCTCTTTAAATACCGTGTCCCTAGGACAGCAACACAGAAATGGGGTTGTAGTGTCTTGCCTCTTCATAAAAGATCTGAGAAGAGTCCAACAAAAGAGTACTGCTTTTATACCTAATCAGCTGTAATGAAAGAATATGAAGAACTGTCATGTGCTTATTAGGGGAAATTATCAGATATTCTTTTATATGATGAACTAACACACAGCGCTGATAATCCTGTAGTGCACACTAAATTACAATTAAAGGCCTTTCTGCTCCACCAAAATCTCATTTATAATCTCTATGGAAATACTCTTCCTGCAGTTATTTCATTTATGCTTCTTTTATCTAATGACTATAATATTGGTTCTGAATCATATTTTCTTAATGTACCCTTATTCAATTATAAAGTTATTTTTAAGTATAGTTACTTTATAATGCCAAGTATATCGCTCTGCAGCCTTTGTCTTTCACCACACTATTTAACTGGCAGTGTTTTCTGAAGGCTTCTCTTCATTTCAAAATCAGCTTTTTTTCCCCGAAAAGCACAATACATCCTATTACCTTTTTTTTTCCTCATCATTTTTTTCAAGACAGAAATGAATAGTTTGATTGTTGCAACCTCCCAATCATGCTTCTCTCTCCCCCACCTTTGTTTTTTGTAGGCACAAATGCCAAGGGCTCAGCAGAAACCTCCCAGGGAACAGCAGCATTCCAGGCTGCTCCTGCCCCCACAGCCACGTAAATTTTCTCCCCTTACGAATTCCTTCCTACCCGTGTTCCCTTTTCATCTTCCCTCTCTTCTGTGCTGCTTTATTCATTTATTTTCATCTCCCGTTTTAATCTTCTTAGTCCTTCAAGGGTGCTGTCTGTGCCCTCTAAAGGAGCGGCTCACACACAGCAGAGCCTGCAGTTTATTAAAATCAACAGGGCCCGTTCCCGAGGCTGAATTTTGCTGGCACCAGAGTGCCCTTGACTCACCCTGGGAATTCAGGGTGCCCACGACTGAGTCCGGTATGAACTTGTTAAAATGTCATTAACGGCTCAAACGCCTTGGGAATACTTGAGGAGCCGAGTCCGGTTGGTGCCTGTGCAGGGAAAGAAGTGCTTTGATCAGGCATTCACTACAAGGCCTCTGGCTCTGGGTGGCTGATGCAGAACCAGAAAGAGCAGCTTGCCTGAAAATGGCACAGCACGTGTCAGGATAAGAACAGGACCCTGGCAGTGTCAGGGAAGGGACGGGACCCTGGATCCCCATGGCAGAACTGGCCAGGCTGGAGCAGAGGAGGTGAACTGTCCCCCAGAACTGGGGACTGCACGACATCCTGCACTGAGAGCCTAATCCAGGAAAGGATTCCCTGTGTTACAGTGCAGTTACAGCTTTGTTTGGCTTTCATGCCTTTGTAAATACTAAAGATAACCCTTTTCTTGAAGGGTTCAAATGCTTAATTCACCTTCTCTGGAAAAGACTGAAACACATCAGAAGTGTCAGGGAACCTCCCCTATCTCTTCCTTTTTGTCCTGACAGAGACCCATGCACACCAGTTTGAGGATGAAATAAAAAGGACCTTGACTGGTAACAAACTGAGCTACTCTGTGCTCCAGTGTGAGGGCAAGTCCATCACAAACTCAGATCCATCCTTTGACCCACTATAACTGAGCAGAGCTCACAAGCAGCCACGTGGGGTGTGACCAAGGCAGCAAATATACCAAGCAAATGATACAACAGTTCCCTCTAACACTGGTTCTGCCTTTTTTGTGTAGCCCAGAAAATTAATTCTGTGCTCTTGAGCCTTCCCTGTCCACAAGAGGACTGAGCCCCGTTTCAAGCTCTGGTGTCTACGTGTTGTATTTGTAAGCTAGAAAATCTCCCCATGAGTTACTGCACAATATACCTACCACTTCATTTGTGCCTAAGTGGGGACCCCTGTTTTCCATTTTTACAGCAGCATATTTAATAAGTAAAAAAATAGAAGTTCATTAAAAATAAATGTCTTTCTTGCTGGGAAGTGCTTGGTTTGAAGGCCCATTTTCAAACACTGTATGTGAAAATACTCAAGTCCCGCACTGGGTCACTTACTAAAAATTTGATTTGAAGATCAGCCTACAAGTCTCATAAACAGTCTCATAAAGATGTAACTATCATAATAACTTTCCATTTTCCAGTTGCAAACATAAGATGAACTGTTCTGAAGCACCTAATGTATGACTAATGTTTATTTGTTTTACACCAAGCTTTACAGCTGCAATGTTCCAAGAACGCTTAAATTCAATAAACAGCTATTATAATTCACTGAATGGTGGCATTTCCTCTATGAGAAAACATAACCTATCCATTTTAATTTTTCAGAATCAGTGAAAAAACTTTAAGGTAGATTGCCCCAAAGTGAGATTTAAACAGCTCCTGCCTCCTTGGCTGTACAAACACTACCTCCAGATTCTGGTACTCTGAGCTGGTGAGGCCATACTCCATACAAATCATTTTGATGCCTGTTTTTCACTTACGTTACCAGTGATCCTGTCTGACACGCCGTACCACATTTACAACTCACGAGGCAGAGGATTTAACGGGCGTGACTGTCCCCCTGAGCAGCTCTGAAATGGCTACATATAAATTATATTACTATATCCCGTGTGACATCCCCCCCAGCCGGATCCGCGTTCGGTTCTCACCTGTCCTTCCCGGTTTCCCTCTTGAACAGGTCGTCGAACTGGAGCATCTTGTGGCGAGAGATCATGTAGGCTTTCAGCTGGGGCAGGATCTGGTTGATGAGCTGCAGGTTGTTGTACACCAGGCCCTTCCCGTCCCGGCGCATGTAGCTGCTCGGCCCCCAGAAGATGAAGACGGCGCCGTGGCTCATGTTGAGGAGCTCGTTGCGGTTCCGCAGGATCCTCTGGATGCTGGAGTGGGCGATGACCCGAAGGCTCGTCCTGTTGCCGACGTCCCTGCCGTAGCCGCGGGTGGGCGCGTCGTTCATCCGTATGACGCACTCGGTCTCGTCGATCCTGTCCCCCTGTCTGCCCCCCAGCAGGTGCCCGGAGCTGGTCACCAAGGCACAGCTCCTGCAGTGCATCTTCAGCGGCTGCAAAGACACACGAACCTCAGCGTTAGCTGCTGACATCTTCCTTTTCAGTACACATTTCGGTTTCACACAGAAATGGCATGTTCTACAGCAGAAATCGCAAGGGAATTCACGTAAATCTCTCCCAGCAGCCTTCCCAACTGGCTGGGGATGCTTTACCTGCAGGTTTTGTAGGTGGGGGAAATGTGGTGTAGGTGTATTAGCCTTTACTGTTCCTCTGTGGAGCTGAGCCCATTGTGTAAATCCTCCTTTCCACTGTCTACACAGAAATGACAACAGCTTCTGTACTGTTCCCAGCTGCTTAGGGCTGTTCTTCCACTTGCCATAAACAAGCTACAACTGGAGTGTTTTTTACTCTTCCTCTTCTACTTTTTTTTCAGGAAATAATCAACTCTAAGTCCTCCTAAGTTCATGTGTGAATAGCTTTTCAACCCTGGGGTCAGGACACTGTGCTTGGGGAAGAGAGTGATACATTGGCCCAGTCCTTCCACGGTATTTGCAGGTTGGTCCCATAACCACTGCAGTGCTCTTGTACCACCTCATTTATGCTTCAGCACTCAGAGCTGGTCATTAATGTCTGTGTACATTTGGCATGGCAGTGAGTTAGTGCACTGAACTTTTTCTGGCTTGTCAGGTCATGCACAAAAGTTACACAGTAAAATGGAACAGGAGGTGCCTGCTCGGTGAGTGCTGACCTAATGGAAGGAGGACAGTAAAACAAGCTCTCATGAAAATGAAAATGCATGATAAATCATATTCCTGGAGTAAGCCACTGATATAGGTATCAATTAGAGGAGTATGTCACTGCCTGCTGCTCAGCATGAGAACTAAAAAGGGGCAAAGGGTTAACAATATCCCCAAAGTGCTACTTTCTAACAAGAGTACAAGGAACTGTGAGGTAATTAAAGACTGTCTGAAGGTGTGCTACAGTTTCTCTGAAAAACAACAACCAAAAGCAACACCCAAACCCACCCACCACCTCCCAAATCCAACCAAACAAAAAACCCCACTGCAAAAAAACCCCAAACCAAAGCAGGCGGAGAAACTCAACTGCAGTTGCTCAATCATTTTGATCTACTGATCTCCTTCCCTAAGGGTGTCCATCAGATTTTTCTTTTCACCCTCCACCCTAAAGGATGGCATCACTCCAGTACCTTCCTGGTGAGTAACAGGCTTGTTTGAATTCAGACACACCACTTGCTGACACAGCAGTTGCCTCCTGCACTGTGGCACTGGAGGGGACAATCTCCACTGGCTCTGAAGAGCAACCTAAACACAGCCAGCACATCTCCAAGTGGAAACCTGGTAGGTTTATTAGCAATGAGGAGTTATGGTGGATTATAAATCACCCTTACTATCAACCACAGGCATCAAATGACTACCTCAGTCTGCAGGGAGGCACAGCTTAAAACTCTGAAGCTGAAAAGGACACATAACCTAGGTCTGACATCGTCTCAGTCCCCTGTTTGAAAAAGCTTTGGCCCCTAGAATTTGATGGGAGTGTTTTAGTGTAGTAACTTACGTTTAATTTTGAAAGTAATAAGTGGTTGGTTACTACTGCAGTCTGAGATTTTTTTTTTTTATATGAGAAGAGCTAATGAATGATAGTGCTTTTCAATTGAAGAGAAAATAATGAACTATAACAATCTGTGCAAAGATACAACCGGCAAGTCTTGTATCTCCATCTCCCCCAATCAGCAAAGTCCCTTTTCTTTCACATCTAAGGACTACAATCCTGAGCTAATGATATGGGTAGAAATGTTCATGCCTTTGTGAGCCCAGGTTCCTAATGCAGTATTTACATGCATTTTCCTTTAAGCTTTCACCTGCCACTTTGATGAATTACCTAGCAAAAGGCTCTAAGGTGAACTGGCTGCTCCACCACCATGCCTGGGAAAGCAAGATGAAGTGCTAATGAGGTTAAAGGAAATGTAGTCAGCACCAATGTTGACTCACACAGGTTTGAATACCCTCATAGCAAGGCATTTTCACCTATACAATCTCTGCTGCTTTCTGGCCTATTGAGCTGTTTCTTTTAAAAAAGTCTGCCACAGAATCCATCAATTGTTGGGAAACAAGGGGGACCATCAGCGGAGCTGGGGAAACCTGGGGATGGGAGGGCTGAGCCAACAGAATAAACATTAACACCTCCCAGAACATCTGTCCCAGATCTTGATTGAAAGATGTTCCTTCTGGTGAGAAGTCCCTTTAGGTGAGACATTCAGGTACTGCCTGACTACATCTTGACTGATGCATGGGGGCTGAGCCCCTGCAGCTGCTCCAGGCAAGCCATTTTCAGTCGCCTCACTCAGATTCTTTCAGTCGAAGGCCACAAAACTCGCACCTCAAAACTGTCAGAGGAATTCACAGCCAACAGCCACAACATTCTCACACCAGCTGTTTATAATGCCTTGACAATACTGAAAACAAGGGAGGGGGGGGAAAAGCTACAGGCTGTAATACCTATAGCGTTGGGAGGCAGCAGTGGCACCAGAAATGTCATGTATTTAAGCAATAATAATGCAGGCACGAGGCAGTTCTCTGGGATTGATGACCAGCCTGGAAAAGTTGATGGCCTGAGAATAACCAGGGGCCATTAAGCCAGAAGAACATTAACTCCACAGAAAGCGCTCTGTTACAGTAATTATTACAGTGATATTTTGGAAAAAAAAGCAAACTGGGGAAAAAAAAAAAGAAAGGTAAAACAACGACAGACGAGGTATATTTCTGGAGCCTGGCTTCAAAATACCCAGAGAAGGGACAGGGTGAGAGGTAGGTGAGTTTTATAGTACCTGCATTAGGTAACTCGAAGTGTAACATGCCATGCAATGTGAAAGCTGCTGACATTTAATTGTACTCACTGTCAATCAGCAGCCACAGTTCATGTGCACCCTCAGACAGGGAACAAGCCAAGCACTGGCCCAAACAGCTGCCCAAATCAGCTCTCAGTTCCAGTCAGCTCAAGACTCACGTGGAGAGAGGGGGAACAGAGGTTACAGCAAGCTCCCAGTGCAGGAGCCCCAGGAGATGGCAAAACCAGCTGGTGCTTTTCCAAGGCTATCCCAAGGGAATAAAGGGAGCAGGTGAATGTTGATATGGATAAGCCCCATAACAGCACCTCAGTGACCACAACAAGTGCAACTGCTCCAAGTACCACAGGCCAAGCTGACTCCTTTGGAAGGAAGCTTTCACTTCCATAGATTATAGCCCAGGAAGTGCTTGCTGCTCTTTCATGTGCGCCTGACTTGGTTAATACCAACAAACAGAACCAAAAAAAACAATGCCACAGTTGTTTCTGCATTTTCCAATTGGAGGCAATTTGCACTGTTATTGACTTTAAAAATCTGCATTGCCCAATGATAGAAAAATGTTATTTTCAGACACTTTAGTGCTCAACTGCTTGAAAAGGATCAATGGGAAAATGTTATTCCTGGTTCAAAACATGTTACTCTCAGATACAATTATTTTCTTTGTGATGAAATCAAATGATAATTTTTTTTTTCCTTATAGAAGTCTTTCGATTTAGAAGATTTAGAAAACAAGACAATTCTTTCCAGTAAAATCAGGAACACTGGAAAACCTGCTTTTTCCTATATTATTTAATGATCTACTTTCAAGACCCCTGGGTTCAGATCACCCCATTATCAGCAGTATAAAACTTTCCTTTCTATAAATAAAAAATAGAGTATTTCATCTTGGCAATGATGACCTGTCCAACAACAACAACCAAACCAAACCAACCAACCAAACAAGCAAAAAAAAAAACCAAAACAAAACCCCCAAACCCAAAACAAGAAAAAAAGACCTGGAGAGAAGAACAGCTCATTACTGAGTTCAGCTAAAGAGACCACCTGTCAGTTCACGAACAGGAGCACTCCTCATAGATCCATCTGGAAATATTACAGATGATTTCAAAGTGTACTGGGAGAGAGCAAGAGAGACTCAGAAAGGTTAAAGCACACCCAAACTCGTTTTGGATGGATGACCTTTAACTGAGCATCTGAGACTGGAAGAGCAAAAGGTTTCCCTTGCACTGCAACACCTCTGCAGCACATCATCAGCCAGCACATCTCCTCCTGTCTGAGCTGGAAGGAGAAGCTCTGGGGCAGCTCCTCTCTGCATTAACTACCTGAATCAACAGCTCCCAACCTGACTGAGACAGCAAGAGCAGCGGTACCAACAAAGACTGATGTACAGGAGAGCAAATCTGTTTCTGCTTTCAACTGAATTAATTCACTGTAAGGCTGAATTAATTCACTCTAAGGCTAAATGAATGGCTGAAAAAGGGACACATGAACTCTGTGTTTATAAACAGTCTTCCTGCTTCAGGAGAAGTGACCTCATTGGGGAGCAGCCCAGCTTTCTCTTCCTGTTACAAAGCAGGTGATTGCAAGGGCAGGAGTTTGAGGGCTCCCCTCCCCGGTGCCCATCGTGCCTGGCCTGAGCACAACTCGTGACACTCGCTGTGTGTTACCTCAGGACTGGCTTTTCAGGTTCCCTGCCCTGAGCAAGGAACTGAATCAGCATTTCCCAGGCGATGTTAACGAACCCCCAGTTCACCCCACGCTCGATGCAATTTGTTACATATGGCCTGCTCTTGATTGCTGGGTCATCAGCCACCAGCAACAACACTAAATAATTAAGTCTTGGCTGGTAATACAGTATTTTGTCCTGGCAGCTTCAACTCTTTTACTTTCTTGTCGCTTTGAGCAGCTCTGAGGTTTCCTCACAAGCTGCTGGCTTGGAACCACTGCTCCACTGGGCTGGCTGCTCCTTCCCTCTGCTCCTCTCCCAGAAGCTCTGAGGACAATCCCCCTATCCCAGCAGCCACCCCAAGCCCTGCAGGAGCTCCAGACATGCCCAGCCCTGCTCCAGCTGCTCCAGCTCTTGTGGGTCCCTGTCATCAGCACTGCTCCAGGTGTAAAGCTTCTCGTGCCACTACGTCCATCTCTCATCAGCAAGCTACCAATAGAAACAATATATGTATGCCTCCTTCCTAA